TCCTTGTTGCTTCAACGCGTTGTCGAAGTGGGGCTCGAAGTTGTGGTGTCACTAATAGTTTATGTTGTCAGAATTCGTGAAGACCAACTACAAGCTACCTAGCGTGAGATCCAGCATCGCGCACTAGTGAGGTTCGTGGCAAATATTCACAGGGGGTAACGGGGTCAGTGCGGCATCCGCCTCTAGAGCTGCGGCGCTGGCAATTGACATGCCACACTATATTGAAGAGTAGGAGGGGGTTAGGTGATATTAACTTAGGACTGGGGACAGACTGACTTTACGCTCTCTCAATGACCTGTTCAGGGTAACACCACACACACAAAAAAATATCAAATTAGAAAAACAACAACAAACACAATTAAAAATACATTGGTGTAGCTTTATATACTTGTATATATACATATGTGTAAATAAAAAGGAAGTAGAGAAAATAAATACTTTTTATTCTAAATTGAACAAAACCCCGCATTCTTTGAACAATTTACATTTTTATTAGATTGTACTTTATTTTATGATATCTATGTTTATATGTATGTACATTACATGTGTATTATTTTGACTTCATATTTACATTGTTTTTATATATAATTGCTGATTTATCATTTTTTTTCAACGGTTTTTGGGATTTTATCCGAACGTTTTAAACTTTGAATTTGGATTTAGATTTTTTTTTATATTCTTTATTTTTTTTTGTTTTTTTTTTTGAATCTTGAGTTTAATTTTTGGTAGTCTTAAATTCTGAGATTTCTGTCTCTACCTTATATTTCGATTTTCCCATAGATTTTTCTTTACACAATTTTTTTTTCCATTCTTTTAATAGTTCCGTTGAGTTCGTGACGCTTGAAATTTTTTTTATTTTGGATTCTATTTTTGGGTTTTTAAGTTTTAATTTTAAAGCATTCAATTCTTGCTTTTTTTTTGTGTTGTTGAATTTTTATTTCTGCTTCGAGTCTGCCTGCTTTAAATATAATTTTTGGAATTTTTTTCAACTTACCATTGAATTTCTATGTTTAAATTAATAGTAATTCTTTCTTTATTTCACATTTTTGAGTTAATCCTATTTCAGAATTACAGCGTCCGTGATGCGGTTAAATTTGTATTTTTTTATTTATCTTTTCTTTAAATCGTTACTTTGATTTTGAAGTTCTATCTTGATCTCTTGGTTTTACAGTCAGATTGAATATAGTTTTTGTTTACGGTTTGCGATTTAAATTAATTATAGATGCAGTTTTTTTATATTCATTTGGATTTCTGGATTCTGAGTGATTTGAATTTTGTGGCGTTTGGTGTTTTGGTTCAGCGTTATTAATCAGATTTGTGAGTAAGTGTTGAGTGAATGGAAGATTGTGAGGTTGACGAGCGAGAGACTGAGGACAGAGTGTAGGTAGGTGGCCTTGGTCTGCTTGACTCTAATCCCAGGATCACCTGATGTTGTTTTGCAAGGGCGCTGGAAAACCAAATTGTTGGGTCGATATTCACGCAAATTGACACCGGCATTCTACATCCGGTGGATTTCTTCCCCACGGACTACCTAAATAGGTGTACTGAGAGAATAGTTGGAATCGCCAGCCGGGAGTCACGCCAACCAGCTATTAGGGTAACCGACCAATTATCTCTTAGCGTAACAGTTAATAGTCTCACCTTCTCACGAAAAATAGAAGAACTCGGTGAAATGTCTGAGCCAGAAAATTCCGGCGTTAACATGCCACAAAACGAACAGCAACCAGGGGGCTCAAAGTCTCAAGGTGGCGGGCTGAGTTCTGCAGCCATAAGCATAGAACAGCTAAGCCGATTAGTGGCATGTTAAATTTGATGGTACCTCTAACAGCATGACGGTACAGAGTTTTACCTTCCGGGTTGAGAAGATGAGGGAGCAATACGGGATCTCCTACTACCGGCTGATTACTGATTTTCATTGCCTGGTCACCGGCAGTGCCTTAAAGTGGTACTGGAAAGTGCTCGAGGATCATGCAGATGATCCCAATTTTGGATATTTTGAGCTCAAAGCCGAGTTGCTAAACCACTTCAAAACTGCCGAATCGGATTATGAGGTAATCCGAGAAATAATGGAGAGGAAGCAGACTCCTCAAGAAACCTTCGAGGAGTTCTACAGCGATGTCCACAACCTCACTTTCCGCCTTAAGGAAAAGATTCCGGAACACGAATTAGTAGGCATAATAAGAGGGAATCTCAAGCCGTACCTTGCAAATCTGATCTTTGCATCCCAGATGACGACTCTCGCAGAGTTGAAGTCAGAGTGCAAACGTGCGGAAAGGGTCATTAAAGAGAACAGGAACAGACCGAAACCAATTAATGAATTAGAGTTTATAAGTGAAGAAAAGGCAGAGGAGAAGGTAGAACAAAGAAGTGTAGAGGCGATTAAGTGCAATAAACCTCAACAAGTAGTGTCAGTCCCTAATAGAGTGCTCCCGTCCAGTAATCCCAATGTGCAAAAACCCACTCTCCATTCGTTATGTCCGTCTCCTTTCCACCTGATGTTGTGTCTCAATGTGGTCTACCCGTCGACTACTATGTTAAAAACCCACCTGACGCCCGGAAGGAAGATAAGTGTATGTCCAGGTTTCATGATATGGTCTGTTCTACGTGTGGTAGTAATGCGTCCGAAGCTGGCAGAAGGATCTCCCGGAGGAATTCCAGTGAATGAATCCGTGTTGAGTCCTGTGAGTATTTTAAGGAGAGAAGGGGGTAGTAAGTTAGATAAGGATAGTTTAGGAAAACTAAGGGGCAGAGAAATCAAGAGTTTACACGAAAGGAAAATAGCATATGAAGAAGCCCGAAGGCGCTTTATTTGCGAGGAGATAGTTAGGAAGAAAAAGAATAGAAACTATGAAAATATTAGGAAAATGAGGGAAAAAAGGAAGAACCTAAGATAAGAAGAATAAGCCAAAATATCATATCCACTATAGCAACGCTTTAAGGAGATAAAAGGTTTTTTGCAAAAACTAAGATCGGAGATTATGAAGTGTTCGCGCTCCTCGACTCAGGTGCAGGTGCCAGTTGCCTCGGGAAAAACGCTGAAAAACTCCTCGAAGGCAAGGAAAGCCTCATAATGCCGATTAAAGGTCAGAACATCAGAACGGCCAGTGGGAGGGAAGTGTCGGTAGTCACTCTACCCGTCCTTTGGGCCTACGCCACTAGGGAGCTCGAATTTCTAATTGTTCCGGGACTTCAAGAGGAAGTATACCTTGGCGTTGACTTATGGCAGGCGTTTGGCATGAGTGTTGTGAGTAGGGGTGTGACTGCGAGTGTGAATGGTTCTGTTGTTGCGGAGCTGGTACCCGCCGATGGTGACTTAACCTTTGATGCGGTGCAACATGACTTGACACATGATGAGAGTGTAGCCTTAGAACGGATTAAGGCTCAGTTTCCTTCCTTTGCTGTGCTAGAGTTAGGCAAAACTGATAAAGAGGAACATGTTATTGAAGTTACGAATGAAAATCTCCCAGTGAAACAAAGGCACTACCCTATCTCGCCAGCAGTCCAAAAACTTGTTTACGCAGAATTAATTAGAATGCTAGACATGGGCGTGATAGAAGAGAGCAATAGCAGCTGGAATTCTCCAGTCTCGCTGTTAGTAAAGGGTACGAGAAATAGGCTTTGCCTCGACGCCAGAAAGATCAATGAGAGAAAAATAAAAGATGCATATCCACTTCCCCACATTGACGGCATTTTAAGTCGATTGCAAAGCACGCGTTTTATTTCTGCTATTGATTTAAAAGATGCATTCTGGCAAATACCCGAGAAGAAGTCAAGAGAGACAACCGCCTTCACAGTGCCTGCGAGACCTCTTTATCACTTCAAAGTCATACCTTTCGGGTTGTGCAATGCTGCACAATGTCTGTGTGGGCTTATGGACAAAGTTATACCCGCTTATTTACGTGAGTCTGTGTTCGTGTATTTAGATGATTTGCTTGTTTTTTGTGAAGATTTTTTGTCCCATTTGTCTTTGTTAGAGAAAGTAGCTAGGTGTCTTCGTGAAGCTAAACTGACTATAAACGTTGAAAAGAGTAAGTTTTGTTTTAAAGAAGTGAGATATCTCGGGTATGTTGTTGGAAATGGATGTATTCGCACAGATGTAAACAAAATAGCGGCAGTTAGAGACTTCCCGGAACTACGGACCCCGAAGCAGGCGGTTCTTGGGGATGTCAGGGTGGTACCGTAGATTCATACAGGACTACGCGATCATTGCAGCACTACTGCACGACTGCCTCACGAAAGATAAAATAAAGAAATTTATGATGATTGACGAAGCCAGAAAGGCCTTTGAACGATTAAAACAGAGTATAATTTCTGCACCTGTTCTGATACACCCAGACTTCAATCGACATTTTTATATTCAATGTGACGCATCAACTGACGGTGTGGTTGGGGTACTTTTCCAGTTGGATGACGAAGGCAATGAGCGCCCGATAGCATATGTCTCGGCAAAATTAAATAAGGCGCAACGAAACAACCGCATCACCGAATTGGAATGCTACGCGGCGGTGCTTATTGTAAAAAATTTAGGCTTTATGTTGAGGGACTACCCTTCACGGTAATCACGGACCACGCGAGTCTGAAATGGTTGATGAACAAGAAGGATCTATCTGGCAGACTCGCGAGGTGGAGCTTGAAGCTCCAAAGTTTTCATTTTGATATACAACACCGGAAGGGGTCCCAAAACATCGTGCCAGATACATTATCACGCACCGACATGGAAGAAATAATCAAGAATAGCCGGATAATAGATGTGTGTCTCGATTCGCCATTCTTCAAAACAGAAGAGTACGAAGAACTGAAGAAGGCCGTGACAGAAAACCGATACCAGTTACAGGAGTTTACCATATCGGACGGCTACGTATATAAATGGACGAAGTTTAACACGGGGGATAATTTTCAGCAGGACCACGCCTGGAAACTCTGGGTTCCGTCGGAGCTGCGTCGTGGGTAACTAGAATCATCGCATGACTCACCGTGCGCTGGTCATAGTGGAATACAGTGAAATTCCTCATAACCGGACACTCACGGTCGCAGTGTTTTTGTCCGGTTATGGGAGCTGTCCGCTTATAGGGGATGAGGTCAAAAAATATATACATACTACACATATAAAATTCATTGTAGTTTATTTAAGAAATTTTTCGAAGCAAAGAATATTTAAATACATACTTTAGTATTACATATACATACATAAATATATCAATTAAATACATTGTACAAGTCCTTACATTTCAATATCGACTAGTTTGTTTGAAAAAATTGTGTGATGCTTGTTTGTTTTAACATTGATTCCTTTAATTTAAAATTTTCATTTTCAAAGTGACTCTCGATATTTTTAACCTGCTGAAAAGCTACATAGTCATTTTTTGCAAATTGTTTCAAGCGCTCAACAAGTTTTAAAGCCTCATCATATGATGTTATGGGGTCACTTATTTCTTCTGAAGGTTCATCTTCTGAATCACTTAAGTCCATAGTATCATCTGGTTCGTCAAATTGAATTTCTATATTGTTGTCCTCAGTGAAAACATTTTGATCTATTTGGAGAAAACCTTCGAAATCATTTGCCAAATCTAGTCCTTCCTGAAGCCTAGCATAGACTGCCAGTGGAATGTCATCTTCGGGATCAAAATCTGAAGGATCCTCTAAAGTTTCCAAAAATCCTGCTTTACGGAAGCAGTTTCGGATTGTTGTGGCTTCCACTTTATGACAAGATGCTTTGATGAAATACACAGCTTCCAGTACATTAATCGATTTTGAGAGCTCTGAGGCTGAACTTGTATCGCCAATTTTAGTTATCAAGTGTTTTAAAACTAAGCTTCTATACAAAGTTTTAAAATTTTGGATTATACCCTGATCAAGGGGTTGGCTAACTGCCGTTGTATTTGGTGGCAAGAAACAAATTTTTATGTTGGTCAAGTCTAATTCCTTTGGATGAGAAGCCGCGTTATCTAGAAACAAGATAATTTTTCGATTCTGGGATTTCATTCTTCGATTGAACTGCTGCAGCCATTCGCTCATCACTTCTCGAGTCATCCATGCTTTTTTATTAGACTTCCAATCCACTGGAAGTTTTGCAATTGGAACATGTTTAAAGGCTCGAGGACGGGCTGCTTTCCCTATAACCAAAAGCGGCTCCTTATCTCCAGCCATATTAGCACAGAACAAAATTGTGAGTCTTTCCTTTGATAGCTTACCTCCCACACATTTTTTCGGATTTAAGAGCGAGGGTTTTGTCCGGTAAGGCACGAAAGAAAAGCCCACTCTCATCGGCGTTGTAAATGTCTTCAGGCTTGTACCCATTCAACAGAGTTGGCAGCTTTGTCCGAAACTGTTCGACATCATCCTGATTCACATCTGCACCTTCACCAGATATGCATTTGAAGGAAACATTATTCCTTAATCGCCATTTATTTAGCCATCCATCCGAAGCATTAAAATTAGGTACCCCCAGTTTTCCTGCAATTTCCATTGCCTTTGCTTTCAAAATGGGACCAGAAATCGGAATTTTTTGACTCCTAGCCTTAGCGAACCAATCAAAACACATCCTGTCTATATCCGAGCCGCCTTCTTTAAGGAAACTTCGCTTTTGGTGAACATTAGATCCAGACTCCCATTTAGAACGAATTTTTTCTTTATTTTTATTAATTTCAGCAGCTTGCGTTTTGCCAATATTGAACCTCTTAAAGCAAAGGAAACGTGTACCTACAAGTTAAATTATGGACTCACTATACTTTACCTTTTTGCAATTCCACGTACTGATAACTTTTCTTTTTCGAAAACATTAATAATTTCCATTTTCTCTTTAATAGAAAGTAGCTTCTTTTTCGGTGCCATATTATTACGAACTTTGAACGCAACCTCTCGCATGCAACTTACTTGACAAACTGAATAGAAAACCACCTTTTACTTGACACGCACGGCTTGAGTGTGTGCATACATGTTAAAAGGGGAATCCCCTATTTCATTTTTATAATGAACAACAAAGCTTGCTTGCGATGTTTTTGAATTTTGTCCGTTTATGAGAAATTTTTTCATGGAAATGGCTTGAAATACAGTGTCCGCGTCCGGTTATTAGAGCGTCCGTTTATTAGAATGATATTTGTATGAAAAAAGGATTGAAAAACCTGTGTACACAAAATTTGTCCGGTTATTGGAGCTGTCCGGTTATAAGGACTGTCCGTCTTGGGGAATTTCACTGTATTGTATTGTGGTTATTTGTTCACTTAAAAATCAATATCGGATATAATTGTGAATTGCGGGGCTTAAACCTTTCGAAAATGCAATGTTCTTGTATTACTTCCAACGATGATGGTTGTCCACCACTTCCGGTTATGTCCATTAAATTATTTTTTTAATTGTATGTAAATTAAAGAAATGCTTGTATTTGCATACGTCTAAAATACTCTCGCAAAGCCTCAGCATAAAGTGAAATGTGTGATAGGGTGGCAATGAATAATTGAGAATAAATTTGTTATGCACCAGCACGCGGCCCACCAATACCGCAAAAAAAAAGTTGTCAGAAAAAATATATTTGTATGTACATACATGCATACCCAGCCAGCAGAGAAACGTACTTTTTGCCGAAAGTCAGGAAACGTTCAGAAAACGATTTCCACATTTGTTCATTTTTCGTATCCGAAAAATTTCATCATCTTATTTCAAAACAATAATTTTAAAATATTTGTTCAAACCAGGGTTTGAAAAACTGTCAGCACAGCAGCAACAGAACCACTATTTTTGCTTTTGCTTCGCTTTGAAATTTTTGATTTTCATTCTGATTTGCTTTCGCTGTGACTTTGAAAATTTTATTTTGCTTTTTTGTCGGCAGTTTATTGAAAACAATTTAGTAAATTAATTTGCTGTGATAGCACTTCTCTTGTGCTGTGATTTGCTTGAATGTCCTGTGCACACGAAGCTTTGCAGCATGGTGTATTATCGATGACTCGCCAGGAGTGAGTACACACAAAATTTGCAGTATCAATTCCTTTGCCTTGACCTTTCGCTAGCGATTATCTGGTGTGAAATTGGCGATTACCAATCGCTAGCGAATTGCCTAACAAATGGCAATGCATCGTCGTAGTTAGCTTATGGTCACCTCTTGTCACCACTAGAACTAAAGGGTAGTGCATTTGTGCATGCATACATATTTCTGCCAATTTGATGTTTCACGGTCAAGTGATAGTCGAATTCTATATCATATCATCTGGCAACGTTCGTACTGTGCGGTCACTTAAACTTTCGCTTGAAAGAATTTCCAATGTTTAACTCGTTTACAAAGTGCTAAGCAGTTCTAATTTGTGTTATTCACACCGTAAAAAGTTTACTGAAGCCAAATTCCAATAAATTGACTTGATTTAGTCATAAAGTGCGTTGATTGAAAAGTTTTATTTAGTCGGCCTTCGTGCATATTTGCCTGTTTTGGTGCATTATTGTTGCTTTTGCGTGAGAGTGTAAGGAATATCGCATTTGTTTGTTCATTTTGCTTTCTTTCGCGCTTTACACACACCTTTGTTTATCATCAACAGTCGCTTTCTTGGTGACAGCTGATTTTGTTAACTCAGTGGCTTTAAAACTGTTAAGTTCAGCACGGTTTCTAACCATTGAACTTCACTAAATAAGACCACTAGCTATTAAACTGCCAATTACTGTGAGCTTGAAACGTTTTCGTACAATACATTCCTAATTTCGCTATTTTTATTCTTTTTTAATAAAATTCGCTAAAAATGTCCTGTCTGTTCGAAAAATGTAATGTAAAAGCCGGTTCGGACCGTTTTGTGGCGTGCTGGCTTTGCGATGAACTGTCTCATTTAAAGTGTGCTGGTATTAATGGGAGAGTTCTGGATATGATTATTGGAGACAATGGACTTCGCTGGTCATGTCCAAAGTGTAAAAAAACTGTTGTGGATCTCTGTAAACTATTTAGAACCGCTAGAAATGGATTTTCGGAGATAAGCAAAGAGCTAAAACTGCTCAACGAGAAGTTCAAGAAGTATGAGGATGAATTCAAAGAATTTAAATTATTAGATACTTCCTCCTCCTCTCCTTCTCCTGGAAAAGGTCTTAAGAGACGTAGGAGAGGCGTGGAAAATATTGTGTTGAATCCCATCACTGTGGACCTGGATCTTCCGCAGAACCGCCCACTTTTGACTCCAGCTATGAACAAAGAACTCATAAGCTTTAACACACCGATTCCTCGGCGGACTGAATCTCCCCAACCACGTCCTTCTTCTACTGGAGCCTCACTAAATTCCTGTTCAACAGCTTCATCTCAACCCTCCACCACATCTGAAGCCATCTCCGATTGCGTCAACACCGTTCCAATGCAAGTAGTCGTTGCTCCTTCCAAAAACTCCACAACTACATCTCAACCCCCTACCACATCCGAAGCCATCGTTGCTCCTTCCAAAAAGTTGACAGCTGTTCCGCAACCCCCTGTTCCGCAACCCCCCTACCACATCTGAAACCGTTTCCGATTGCGTTAACCCCGTCCCGAGGGATTTAATCGTTGTCCCTTCCAAAAAATCGGTCTTTATATCTAGGTTTTCAAAAGATACCACTGTCGATGATGTGAAGGGGTATTTAACTTCCAGGCTGATAGCAAATGAGTTGCATGTACGCAAGTTCAGATTCTCGTATGAAAGAAGCATTTCTTCTTTTAAAATAGACATATCCGAAGACTGCTTTGATAGAGTAATGAGCCCATCTTTTTGGCCAAGCGGTGCCTTCATTCGCGAATTTGAATTTAGATCTAGACCGCAAGGGCAAAATTTGGCTCAACTTCCGCTTTCCACCTCGGCATCAAAAAACTAATAAGTAACCTCACCATTAGCATTTACTACCAAAATGTGAGAGGTTTGAACACAAAGCTATCAAGGTTACACTTGCAGTCCTATGATTTTGACTTCAAAGTACTGGTGTTTACTGAAACCTGGCTCAAGCCGAATGTGTTCAACTCGGAAATTTTGTGTCCTAAGTATGAAGTGTTTCGAAACGACCGTTTAAATAAAAAAAGTGGAGGCGTCTTAATCGCTGTCCAGACTGACCTTTCTTCTGAAGAAATTGAGTTCACTGACACCGATGAAGTTGAATTCCTCTGCGTTCGAATAAGATATCATTCTTTTAGCGTTTATCTTGTTGCTGCTTATATACCACCTAACTCGAGCCTTTCTGTTTATTTAAAACACTCCTCCTTACTGCTCTCTCTACATGCCATGGTGAAGCCCTCCGATACTGTTATTGTCCTGGGTGACTTCAATCTTGCGGGTGTTTCTTGGGATCTAATAGATGGTATTCTAGTACCAAATTCCTCTCGTGATCTCTTCAATCAATTTTTGAACGATCTGTCAGATCTTAGTCTTTACCAGATCAACTCTGTTAGTAATAACTTAGGTAAATGTCTGGATTTAGTTTTTGTGGACGATGTTTCCAACGTCACAATAGCCCCTAGCTATGCTTTGATTACCCCTGTTGATTCTCACCACCCACCACTAGAATTGTCCTTGATAAATTCACGCAACTCATGTTGCTTTATCAGTAAAAAATCAAGAGCGGAGCGTTACTCATTTAAAACAGCAGATTATAATAAACTTAGGTTAGAGATATCGAAGATAACTTGGCCCCAGTATGATGGGAATGCTGAAGATAGTGCCTTACATTTTAGCAATTCCTTACGCCACATTTTCAGAAAAATCATTCCTCTTGTTAAGGAAGCTAACGTAACGTCTAACGCTCAGTGGTTTACTGGCGAATTGAAACGCTTAAAAAATCAAAAATCCAAAGCATTTAAGCTTTTTAAAAAATCTGGCTTGTCTTCTCACTACTCCGCGTACTCCATTCTTAGGCATAAATACAATGTATTGAACAAAAAGTGTTACAATAATTATATTAACAGGGTTCGACTCAATATAGTTTCTAATCCCAAATCGTTTTACGCATTTGTGAACACAAAGCGTAAGACTAACGGTTATCCCTCAACATTGAAGTTAAATGACTTAGTTTCCAGTGACGAAAATATTATTGCCGATATGTTTGCTGGTTTCTTCGAGTCAAACTACTCTGCCAGTTCTACATCTTCCCAACTGAATTCGAATCTATCTAGCTACCCATTCGATCTGCCATCATTTGATTGTATCCGAATTCCATCGATATCTGCTGCGGACGTCCTCATTCATTTGAATTGTTTGAAAATTTCATATACAGCTGGCCCAGACGGTATACCCACAAGTGTTCTTAAAAGTTGTGCAGAGTATTTGTATAAGCCTCTGGCAAATATTTTTAACGCTTCCCTAAAACAGGGTGTCTTCCCATCTTCCTGGAAGGATTCGTTTATCTTGCCACTTTATAAAAATGGAAGTAGGACTAACATCGTAAACTATAGAGGAATTGCGAAGCTTTGTGCTATTGCTAAAGTTTTTGAGGCAATCGTTACGGAAGAACTATCTCACTCGATTACTTCTGCTATTGATCTATCGCAACACGGTTTTTGCAAAGGTAAATCAACTGTATCCAATCTTCTTGAATTCACTACTTATGTGTCTAATGGGTTTAAAAACAATCTTCGAACGGACGTGATTTACACTGATTTCAGCAAGGCATTTGACAAGGTATCTCATTCAACCCTTATATATAAACTTGATCGAATTGGCTTCCCTCCTATTCTTCTCAGCTGGCTTTCTTCTTACTTAGTGGATAGGAAACAAAGAGTAATTTTTAAAAATTGTACCTCCCGGCCAATACATGTCACATCCGGCGTACCTCAGGGCAGCCATATTGGTCCCGTCTTGTTTATTTTATTTATAAATGACCTTCCTAAGGTGTTGAATTACTCGAAATGCTTAATGTACGCTGATGATGTTAAGCTCTTTAAGTACATTAGTACTGCAGAAGATAGGGAGCATTTGCAAGCTGACCTAACCTGCATTTTCGAATGGTGTGAAGCAAATTCCATGTCACTAAATTTGAAAAAGTGTAAATTCATGACCTTCTCTAGAAAATCGTTCTATCCAAATTCGTATATGATATCTGACCACAATGTTGAGCAAGTGACCAATTTCATTGACCTAGGTGTAACTATGGATCCGAAACTAGAATTCAAGTCTCACATAAACTCCTGCGTGATTAGGGCTAGAGGATTGTTGGCTTTTCTTAAGCGCTGGGCCAAGGAGTTCAACGATCCTTATGTCACTAAAGTTCTCTT